CAATCCTACAATTTTTTGTTTATAACGTAGTTTATACGGATTATTTTCAAAAAAATATACGTATTTTGGAAATGTTGAGTCGAATTAGTCTAGAATCGATTAATTTTATGAAGGAAAATCTTTCAAACAGCCGTAGTCCGTAAACTATGATTCCTACAAAATTGATTCATAAAGAACGGAACGTATCTACCGTCTTATAGGGGGATCTACTGTACGTATAATTTATATATAAAGTGCTAACAAAACTTTAAGTTTGATTTTCTCGATTATATTTGAGTATTGCACTTTAGTATTTTACAGGTAGTACACTCACATCGTGTACTACCTCTACACCAAAGATCATCAAAATCCGTTACCCCAAAGCCGTAGGCTCTCCTTGTAAGCATAAACAACATCACCCTACATTCGCCATACAAAGATTAACCCTTCCACGTAAAGATGGCGGATGTGGCCTGATTGACATATAGTTAACCTTCACTACAAACAAATACAGTCACTGCAAGAGTTTTTGTACAGGAAACAAGAAACATCACAATTACATAAAGCAGTAACTCTATCAGATTCGAATAGCACACCATTAAACTTACACTCACATCATACAGACATGACACAACATATAAAAAGCACAGACACCATCAAGAAATCATGGGATCGAAAAGCACTCTAAGGCAGGCATCCTTATGATCTGGCCCAGGATTCTGTTGACAAAACTGCATCAAACAGCTGGTTAGATCAGGGATGCCTCTTTGGGGAGAGGGAAGGATTCCATACATGATTGCAAATATGTAAAATTGCAAAATGATTGCCATACATAATCATTTTGCAAAATTGCAAAATGATTGCCATACAGGATCAGGTCATAAACACTAAAAACTACAGAAAACACACACTCAAAGATACAACACTCACAAATGACACATGCAGAAAATGTCACATCATGCCAGAAACTATACAACACATCACTTCTGGTAGCAAGCTCTTGGCACAGACAGATTATTTACACAGACATAATCAAGTAGCAAATATAATACACCAAGAGCTTGCAAAGAAACACAAATTATTAGACATGCACAAACCATACTACAAATACATTCCACAGACAGTATTGGAAAACAACACGCACAAAATGTGCTACAACAGAGCCATAATCACAGGTAAAACAATTTACCACAACAGACCAGACATCACACTCATTGACAAACACAATAAAATCACATACATTATAGACATAGCCATTGCAAACACTCACAATGTACAAAACACATGCACTGAAAAAGTTAGCAAGTACACAGAACTTGCCTAGGAAATAAGGCGTCTGTGGAGGATGGATAGGGTGCTTATTGTACCTGTCATTCTCTCCTGTACAGGTGTGATACCACACACACTACACAAAAGCCTGGGAACGTTACAATTGAATAGAAATACATCCATCACACTACAGAAGGCCATTATATTGAATACATGCCACATTGTTAGGAAATTCCTGAATACAGACACTGACACACTTATTTAATTTTTGTTTTTGGCTGCTATGCCTTGACTCTGGTCTGGCATAGTACACAGCTATCGGTGTGAACTGAGTATAACCCACTAAACCCAAAATAATAATAATAATTTAAAATATAAAAATTAGCTTTTGCCACAAGGAGGCCAACTCTCATACGTGGCAACACCAGTGGAATGTCAGAGAGAAGGGGGAGGAAAAAAGTTCATCTACGTAGTTCATACTTTGTGATAGTAATGTATAATAATAATACAAATAATCTATTCACAAGTGATTTTAAATGGATATTTATATAAGTTAATAGTAAATAGAATTTTATACGATTTTAATCTATACAATTAGTCAAATTCACAACAAGACGACGTTTACTGAATTTTCACAAAGACGTTTATATTACAAGTAAAATGTATGTACAATTACAAAAGTTCACAAACAACAATTACAAAATGTCAGGTATAACAAAGTTCAAATACTTTTAATCCACGACAACAGGTCCGTCGAAAAGAACACCTTGCAACGAACTTCTTCCCATGTTAGTTAGCGCACAGCAAGACGAAACAATCTTCTAGGCCAGCTTAGGCAAAGCTAGAACGAACATGAGTTCCCTTGATGTGTTTTAGGTGAACTAAACTTCTCGCCTAAACTCGATCCTTTTATACGGATTGAAGCAAATCGGATTCCACCAATCAGCGCTTAGCAGCGCTACAAGACGTCTGCTGGTGGTACGATGTCTTCCAGCCAATTTGTGGTCGAGTTTTCAAAAGTTGTCTGATTGGCGTTCCCATGATGACAACTGTCGTTCGTTTGAAAATACAGAAAAGAGCGGGAAATCGTATGCCGGACGATTTTACCCCGACACAACCTATAATTTAAAGGTACGTCTATGTATCATTTATGTACTTACTAGTTTTTATGTGTATACTCTCAATTGTAATAAGTAATCAACATGCATTGTATTATAGTTGGCTGAGGAGGGGCAAAAACAGCCCGAAACGAGTACAGGAAAGCAATGTACCATACCAACTAAATAAAGATAAAGGATGAAAAAATTTGTCATGTGTCTTCAAAATAAACTATAAAGTCAGTGTTTAATAAGTCAACAATAAGAAAAGGACACGATTTCACAAGAAATACAATAAATGTTTATGTTCATTTGCTTTAAATTTATTAGATCTATTTTCAATTTTTAACAATTATGTAATTTAAAAATTTTTAATTTTTGTATTTTTACAGCTTTGGAGTAGTTACTTCACATTAGCAGTAGCTTTCTTAACACAAAATTCTTTACAATTAGAAACTTTTTCTGAAATGAAGAGAGAAAAAATTATTCAAAAGTAAGTTACATAATTTAAGTAAATTATTTGTATTTTAATTACTTTAATTATAATAAAATTTTATTCATTATATTTTCATGTTACTGTTAGTTTGTAAGATTCAAATGGAATAATTATTTTAATATTTTTAGTTTTTATAATGATGTCAGAAGAGAATGTTTGATTTTTTTGATAAAAATATGCTAGGCAAAAGATTTTAAAGAATGTAAAATAAGTAGAATTAATGAAAAATTTTTGAAGTAATGAAGTTGAGAGAGAAGATATAAGTAAATTATGAGAATGAGGAAAATTATCTCATGCTAATTTTCATCATTCTCAAAATTTTGATAATTGATTTGCTAATTGTAATAAATTTCAATAAATTTAATTAACATAACTATGTTAATTAANATTATTATTATTAATGTCAGATTTGCAAATTTATAAAATTATAATTCTTAAAAAAATGTATAAATAATTTTCAAATTTATCTTAATTGCCTCAATTTGAGTGCAGTTGTTAATGAATTAGAATTAGATTAAAAGTGAAATTAAAGTATAAAAGAAATATAATACAAGTATTCCTTGCTTAATGCAGGATTTGATTAACATACAAAATTAATTGCAGCAATCCCTTTTTATATGCAGCAGAAGTTTTAATTAGCATGCTTTAACAGTCGTCTTTACTTACTTAACATAGATGTTTTTCTTGGCAAATAAGGTGTTAGTGAATTTGCTATTTTCATTTATTAAAATAAAAGTATTTGTTATTAACCAAAAATTGTTCTAGCGGGTGATGATTGTTCAGTCAAGTATTGAGGTACCACTGTACTTGATTAATGAGATTTTGATATATGCATTAGCATTGAGGGATTAATTAACCATATTAATCAAGGGATACCTGTAATTATATTTAACAGTATGATCTATTATTTTTCAAGTATTATTACAGTAGAGCATTGATTATCCGAATATTGATCAACCGAAACGGCAATTAACCAAAAGCTACTTCAATATTATTTTTGTTGGTGTGCATGTTTTAGCTGGCAGCATTGACCATGAGAGAGTATTTAAGGACGTGCCAGGATTTGAATGAATTTCAACATGGGATAGATTAATATATTTTTTCGTACATAATCGGTTATCCGAAAAATCGATTTTCCAAATAACCCCAGTTCCCCAATTGATTTGGATAATTGATGCTCTACTGTATTTTTATAATTTTGATTGTTGTAAATTTAATTTTTGAAAAGTTGTTAATGTTTTAATAAATTAAAATTTTTCACTTTAATGACATGTTATTAAGGAAGCATATTGTTTATCAATTTCTCTTTATAGAATATACTGTTGTATGTCGTTTAATTGGGAAAATATGTTTTATATAATTCAAAGTATCTTGATTTAAATTTTTAACAATTTAATGGTTTGAAACAGAGGGAATAAAACAACCTTTATTCAGATTCAGCACTAAAATTTTTACTAAACTAGTGCTTATAGTTATTTTATAATCTTTCTTTAGGTTCCGAAGTATTTTAGAATACATTGCATATGTGCACATCATAGTTTATTTAAAAAAGTGATAAAATGTTAAATTAGAAAATATATAGAACCATAACTAAATATTTAACTAGGTAAACATTAAACAGAAATAAGAATAAAAATAAATAATGAGTGTTTGGAAAAATCCTCACAAATTTCTGTAACATATTTTTTACCTTGAAAAACAGAAAACTAAATAGTCATTTCAAATGTGTTGAAAAGTTGTACATTATCTTTTATTTTTGTAATTCTGCAAGTCCCTGTTGTCAAATGCAGTTGATTCTACTTCTGGTGTGCAGTGCAAGTTTATGTATAAGAGTTTGGTTTACATTTTTCAGACAGTACATTATGTGATTGATCAGCTGATCTGTGCTTTTTGCCTTCCACCTTTTTTTTTTAAACTGTTGCCTTGAGAATTGCTTAAAATTCTTCAATTGGCCTAATTTCTGGCACATTTTCAGGGTTGCTCTTCTTTTTGACAAAGATTTTCTTATCACAAATAATCCAGTATGGTTTTGGTATAATGGGAATGGCCAGAAGACATATTCTATTGTAAAATAGTTCTCTCAAATGTAAGGAATCAGGCAGTGTTGTATACATTTATTTAAACATTTCTGGATATTGATAGCAAAGCTTGATTTTCTGATTAGGACTTGACTCATTCCTTTCAGTTCCTTTGCAATCCAATCCAAAACTTTGACCTCAAATTTTTTTTTCTTTTGGAAATTTTAAATCAGCAAGTGTAGAGAAGATAATTACTGATACAAAATCAATGGTACAAAATCTGAATTTTGTACTATTGATTAAAGAGAGCAAGAGAGTGAATAGCTTATTTTGGATGACAAATCTTATTTTAGAGAACTTTCACAATAGTCTTTGCATGTTGATTCTGACTGGAATTATCTGTTTCTATCTATATTTAATGTGTGCTTTTGTTTACAAAACTTTAAGCTTCATTGAACCAATTACATAAAATTTTAAGTTTTAGGACTATAGTTTGAATTCAAACCTTGTTGCTATCTTCAAAACATCCTCTGCAATTCTTCCAAGTTGTCTTTTCGTAGATTTTTTTTTGTACCAGACCTCTTTCTTCTCTGTGATGGTAATCCACTCTTGAAATGTTGCAGAATGCAATATATAGCCTATTTTGAAATTTCTTCATTTGTAAAATAGTTGAAATAAAACACTATGAAAAAAGTTTACCATAATGTGTAAAAGTTGTACACTCTTAGGTATAAAACATTACCTTTTGTTGCCATTTTGGAAGAAGCAGAAAATCAAATGCAGAAAAGATTTTAGAATGTTCTTCAGCATTTCACACACTTTCAAATTAGAGCATGTGCAGCATGATTAAAAATTATTGGCTCTCAGCTAGAGCCTGAAATATTGTGTGGATTTTTTCTGGACACCTGTTATGAAAATGCCAACATAATTACAAACTTATAAATAAATAAATGTGTTTTTATATAGATGTAAAATAAATAATAATTGTTTGTCTTTGACATTTAACTTTTGTGTGTTTTTAGGGATGCATTGTCTGAAAGATAAGACTGCCCATTTATAATTTTTGAGATTAAAAATGTAAAGTGAATGTTTAATACATTTCACAACTGTGGTTCTTTCCAAACTGAATAGGATATATAATTTAAAAACTTAATATTACAAATGTTAATAAAAATTATAATGATTTATACACACAATTTATTTAATAAATTTAAAAGTTTTATACATGCATGCATGCATACATACATACATACATAGTTTGTGAATGTTAAATTTAGTAGTTTATTATGCAAAATTATAAACCATAATAAACAAACCAGATTTTATTTATACTTATTTTGATTTTTAGTGTTATGCTTTGTGCTTTACAAGAGTTTTCTCAACCATTAATATCTGATTTCTTGGATGGAAATGCATTTGACGAACAGGTAGGAAAAACATTTAATTAGTGTAATATCTATTGCTATTTTTAGATATAATAAAATAACAATGGAGGTAAAATAATAACGATTTAATTCTTCAATGTTGTAATTATTGAAAAAAAAAAGTAAATATATATATAATAATGTATTCAAAGATTACAGAATAAATAAAAAAATGCATGTCAATATTAAATTGCTTATTCCTGTATTGGGAACATAATTTTTTTCTGTAAATGCTGATAGTGTTATATGGTACAGTTTATTGTCTTCTGCTTGCTTATTTCTGTAGATAAAACACTATATATTTTAAAATTAAATAGCTTTAATATTATCCTGCCTTTTATAAACTCTTTTTGATACATATTCATTTCAAATTTTCCTTTATTAACATAAATGTTTTGTCCATTTTATTTTTGAATCTAAATATGTGGTAATATGTAAAATGATTGCATATATAGCATGGTTATAAAGTAACTTGACCAACTAGTGTCAATCTTGGGAGTGCTGAAAACAAGGAATCTGTTGAAACTTTTGCATGTTAGGTACAGGGCAACAAGTACTCATACATCAAAATAGAAGTAGAACATGCATTATATTTAAGTTAATGTAATCATATATCAAAAACTTCCAATACAAACACTGGGAATTCACAATGTCGCAAGATTCTGAGTGATGGAAAACAGTATAAGACATTGGAACAGTATATGTAGAAAAAAAGAACAGAGATATTGATATTTCAACAATGAAAAGCAAAGAGCCAATACCTACAACAGAAAACCATGAAATGTGTAACCAAAGCAGAAAACAGGTGAATGCATGCTTTGGTTGAGTTTTGCATGACAATTGCTTTTATAATACCACATAGATGGCATCACTGTAAGCTTTAGCTATGGTGCTGCCATCTCATCTGAAAACTTGTATGGGTTTTCTGTTGCAGTCATTGGCTCACTCACTTTCCATTGTTCAAACACTAATATCTATGTACATTACCTTGCACTTTCTATTAGAAAGTAAATAAGAAATTTCTATTATTTATTATTAAAGTTATTAACATTGAAAATGCTGTATAAGAGTATACGGTATATAATTTTTTTATGCATAGAAGTAAAATACTTTGATAATTTTATTTGCATTTTAATATTCTGTAAAAATTTAGTATAAAAAATATTCCATGTAAGAATTTCAAAAATGTTTTTGAAATATTTATCATTATACACCATACTTCATACATGTATGATATATAATGATATCATCATTACTCATCACAAAAATATTATTTTTCATTAAAAGAAACAAAATGTGCAGTAAAAAATGGAATCAACTTCATTTTTTAAAAATGGGAATTCTCTTTTTCATTGATTTTAATGCCATCTATGATGAAATCACTAGTACCAGCTTATGGTCTCCTTGAAGTCTAACATATTTGGTCAAGGAATTTTTTCAGGATATGTATTTTTAAGTTATTCCAGTGGATTGAGTAAAATGAATCACTGTGTATGTATGTATGTACACACATGTACAATCTTGTTATATGCTGAGTTGTGTTCTTACACAGATA